GACAAACGACCAAACCAGCAAGTGTGAGCAGAAAGAATGCAGGTGTGAAGGGACTGCTAGACGGGGTGTGCTGCGAGGTTGGTGGGATCAGAGTGGGCATGGTGTTAACCGAGAGCACAACAGGGGAAGGAAGAGCAAGACTGAAACTGCGTCGAGACAGCACCAAGGCAAAGTGCACTGCCCACGAAAGGAAACCTTGAAAAAGTCACTCGTGGAGGAAGACTTCAGTATACTTCTTTTAGGGCTGGGCAAATCTAGTAGACAAGTAAGTGAGAACAGCTGACTAATCTACTCTGTTTTATGTAGAGCAATAAACACACACACGTACACAGACATTACATCTCCTGCAGAAACTCTCATGTCCTTAAACCAACTCAATGAGAAATCCAGTTTCAAGTTATCCAAAATGTCTAACCTCTTGGAAGTACCACTCAGTGACCCTGGAGGGAGAGCACCAAACCATTTCGCTTAGAAATTTACATTCCTACAGCAAGTGACCGGGAAGACAAGTTACATCTGTCAGAATAGATGAACGCTACCAAGTTTCCTTGAATATCTTCTTGTTCTCTCCACATCCGTAGGGTCGACATTGCTTTAGTGCCCCTTGAGCCCCGCCAAGTTCCCTTTGGAAGAATTTCTACTCCCTTCTCTTTCCTCCCATGCCGGTGCACACAATCACTGGGACCCACACTTGCACCCTCAGATCGAAAACAACCCACTGAGGTGAGCCGATTCTGCACCCAGAGGGCTCTGAGAAGAGTCTCGCTGAGGGGATGAAGAAAGGAGGAGCCAGGTGGAGCCAATGCTCGGGAGGGAATCACTGCCTCCTCTATTTCCGGGGGTTCTACAATCAGTGAGGGGCAGAGCAGGTGCATGAGGAGGAATCGGCTCCGCAGTATTTCTGGAGCTACTTCCTCTCTATGGTTGGTGTGAGCCATGGCTTCTTAGCCCAGGGTCTGCAGATGCCCAAGGAACTTGGGTGGAAAAACACATACCCTTATTCTCGCTAAGCTCAAGTGGCATTTTGCATTTCCTTCTGTTGTTAACACACAGCGATTCTGTGTCTTTGTTAACAATGGAAATCACGGATATTTTCACATCACAGAATTCTGCAAATATTTCAAAATACTGATTACACTCATCCATCATATTTTGAAATGTACTAGTTACTGGCCCGCCCAGAGCTCATGACATGTAACGCATGACAGGGAGCACACTTCCTGCTGTACCACAAGCGTGCTCTTGATTATCTTGATGACTACATAAAATGACCCAGAAGGAGGAGACTGTGCAGCTGTCATGTGGAGGGAGCTGCCGCCTCTCAGGGGCTTGCAGAGCTTCCTCTGCCAGGGCTGGGTGAGCTCACTCACATGGCCTTGTCTGCTAAGTGGAATGGTGGTGCCTGGAGTTTTTTCCTGTAATTTCTGAGTTGTTCGAATGGAGCATACACTTACATAATGTTTACATCACTGATATCTGTAAAGACCCCAGGCTTCCTTGATACCCAGGAGGGTCTTGGACACATCTTGTTGTGGGGAGACTGGTTTCCGAGGTCTGAGACCGAGACTTCTCTGAACAGACCTCGTGGGCAGGAACTTCAGATGTGCGACGGCAGGAGGTGGAGGTCCCAGGGGTTGTGCAGGTGTCGGTGCAGCCTGCCCACTGTGGGGTCCAGCAGAGCCTGGCACAGCCCTAAGGTCCACAACAAGAAAGCCAGGGGCTCTCGCTTGCAGAACTCCCTGGGTGGCCACGTGCGACTTGTCACCATGCACGACTCTCTCCCCATGTGGGGTGGTGAGCCTCACCGGGAGCTCTAACTCCTTCCCACTCCTTTGGACGAGGAATCTCAATCTGCCTCCCACCTCAGAGCACTCCCGGCCACACCCCCACGCACATGTGCACACGTTTAGAGTATTCCTAGGTGCTGTTCTCAGTACCATGTCACTAACTCACGCAACGCTCACACCACGCCTGTATTTCACTTTTATCTTCACAGTATTATTCCTTACTCCTATTCTTCTTTCCGAAATGATGACCCTGTGCACAGGCACACCGAGGAACATGCTCCAGGGTGTTGCACTCCTACAGGCAGAACTAGCGTTGGAGCTCGTTTGTCGGACATGTGTCCGGTCACCGACCACTTCCTGCCTGAGTGCTTCCTGCCGCCTAATCTTCTCTCCATGGTCACACGTGTGTGACAGGAGGGCTTCATCTCCTTAGTGCACTTTCAGACACAGGGGCTCCCTCACTGGACTGCAGTTGCTCAAGTGCTTAGGTTGGCTCCACTACCTTGTTGGGAGCCCTCCCTCTGTCTTGGCCTCAGTTTCCCCATCTGATGATGAGGTTTACCTGCCATGCTCCCTTACATACTGTAAGGGTTACACAAAGCAGTGCATGTGACAGTCACGTCACCCACAGCGCTCAGCCTGGGGCACACATCCATCCAGGACATGCTGGATTCAGTCAGTGAATATTTGTGCTCAAGGCTCTGGAGATGCCCAGCCGACAAGAGACAAAACCCCTGACCCTAGGAGCTTTACAATCTAGTGGGGAAGAGAAAACCAGTGACCATCTAACAATGTCAGGCTGAAGGAAAATGAGGTAGGGGCAGAGTGATGGAGACGCCATTTGCCTAGGGATGAGAGGGGCCACCAAGGAAGCCACACTTGAGCGAGGAGTCCCGAGGCATTGGGCCTGGAGGAAGAGCACACCTGGGTGGGGGGGTCACCCAGACGTGAAGGCCCTGGGGTGTGAGTGGCTTTGCTGGGCTCCAGGGCTTGCAAGGAAGTGCAGTTCAGGGTTGAGAGTGTGCAAGATCACTGGTCAAGTCCCTCAACAATGGGCCTCACAGGGCACCAAATCCTCTGCCTTTAATTAAGCTTGCAACTTGGAACAATTGAGAAGCCCTTGTGACTTATGGGTGTTAACGTGATGCCAAACATGCAGACTCAAAGAAAAACAGTCAATCTTCTTCAGAGTTCTATCTTCCTTGTGTGGCTAAGCCCCCACTTCCGCAGAGCCTGTGGCCCTCCGAGACACCCCAAGCTGCAGGCCACCGTGGGTCCCTATGCTGCTCACCCCAACCCATATCTCCTGAGGGTGCCAAAGAGCTCACTGTCCAGGGCTCAGGAAGTGAGGGGACAGCTGGTGTTCGGTGTTAGTGAAACCTTTTCTTTCCACACCGGAACAGGAGAGGAAGTCAGAACCCGACTCTGGCAGAGTTCACAGGTCCAAAAGATGCCATGCACTGCCCTCCTGGGTCCCTGCTGCTTGGGAGTGGAGGTGGAGGTGGCCTGGGTGCCGCCTGGAGAGACTGCAGGGGACATTTAGTCTTGGCATACAGTGAGATCGCATCCTCAGGAAAGCTGTGAAACCATCTAGATGTTAAGGAATGAGAGGGAAAAGCGCCCAGCATGGAGGCAGGGTCACAGCCTAACAAAGCCAGGCGGCTGGGACCAGTGGCTCTGTACCTTGCCCATCACAGAAGGCCCCGGGGAGCCTGTGAGGAGTGGATCAGCTCTGGAGACAGCTGAGTCAGTCCGGTCCAGCAACGTGGTACTGAAAGCGAGGGAGCTCAGAAGATTTTATGGGGTTTTTGAACTATTTAGTCTATTTTCTGGGAATTTTAGCATCATTTAAAGAAATCTTGGTTCATGTGAAGAGGTATAGATCACATTTTTTGTCACATTCATTTTCAATTTTGTATTTCACGTATGTGGGGCCGATTCAGCAACAACAGACTCGGCTACAATGAGAAGCATGGAGAACCAAGACCTCCCTGGTGTTTTGGGGAGAGCCATCCGTCTGTCCGTCTGCCCTGCTCAGAGGGCTGGCGACTTGCTAACAACGCTGGCACAGAGGCGGCGTGGGATGCACACTGGAAATGGACTTCTACCTTATTTTCAAAAATTCTAACCACAGACATGAATATATATATATATATATATATATATATTACAGTTCATCATTGTGACCACTTTCAAGTGTGTGATCCAGTGCATCTGGTACATCCACATATTCTCTGACCATTATCTCTAATTCCGAAACGCACTCATCGCTCCCGAAGGAAGCCCGCTTAGCAGTCCCTCCGCCCCCTGCTCCCAGCCCCTGGTGGGCCCCGCTGCTCCCAGGTCAGTGAATGTGCTGTTCTGGACACTGCTTAGAAACGGAATCGTGCAGTATTTGGCTTTTTGTGTGTGGCTCAGCAGTTCTACTCAGGACATACCACTAAGAACTGGGAACACACCAGGTGTGGTGGGGCAGGCCTGTAATACCAGCACTCTGGGAGGCTGAGGCAGAGGGTGGCAAGTTCAAGCCCAACCTGGGCAAATTAATAACTTAGTGAGACCTTGTCTCGAAAATTTAAAAAAATATATTTTGAAAGTATTGGTGATATAGCTTAACGTGAAGGCCCTGGGGTTAATCTCCTATTTTTCTCCATGAAAAAAAATTTTTTTTAAAATTGGAAACAGGTGTTTATGTAGAATTTAGCCATGACTGCCCAACACAGCAGCATTATTCAGAACAGCCAAAAAGTGGAGAAAAATCCAATATCCATCAACGGATGAAGTGAAAAACAAAAGAATAAAGTTCTGGTTTATACTGCGACATAGATAAAGGTAAACAACAAAAGTATGCTAAAGAAATCAGCCACAGAAGACGGCACTGCAGGATTCCACTTAGGGTGCATCCTGGGGCATGAAACGTGTGGCCCCGAAACCCGGAGTCCCGCTCGCTCGGTGTCACAGTTTTCCCTGCCGCCCTGGGGCCTCACAGCTCTGAAAATCGGGGGCCGGGAGAGGCGGGACAGAACTCCGGCTCCAGGCAGAGTTGCGTTCGTGTGGGTAACCCGTGCATAACACATATGAAGTAACTCCCGAGCCCACGCTGGGTGAAACCAGCCGAGACCTGGGCTGGGAGGAGGGCACTCAGCAGGTGAGTCCACAGACCCCGGGCTCATTTGGCTGTCCCGAAGGGAGGAGGGGAGAGGCCGTGCTCACCGCGTCCATGAGGCCCTTCACCGTGGGCGACTTCAGCATCAACGCATCGAACACGTCGTCAGTCTCCTTCCTCACGTACAGCAGCACTGGAAGACAGGGGCGAGGCCCGGGACATCGGCGCTTGCGGTGACACGCAGCCGTGGCCGGGGCCTGCGGGGGTGGGGGGCAGCGCACGGCCCTTGCCCGGCTGCTTCTTCGCTCTCCGCCACCGAACAGCCCGGCCCCAGGCGAGTCGTGTCCGGCCGCTCAGCCCAGCCGCTGGGCCGAGGGGCACTGACGCCAGCCGGGGAGGAGCGAGGAGAGGAGAGGCGAGCCCGGCATGGGAGGGAGCGAGGGGGGACGGAGGACACTGAAGGCTTGCACACTTGTTTTCTCTTTATCAGATACAAAACTGTCTGTTAAATAAACAATGAGCATGTCTCCAGCGATTTCCAAATTTAGTCCTCTGGGATGAACATTTTCTAACCTCTATTTCAGCTAGATGATCTAGTGATCTAATGGTTATTGTAAGAGAGCTCGATGTTAGCAGAACGCGGGAAAATAAGTAGAACACAGATCCTCAGTTACATCCAGAGGGGAAGACAGGTCCATTTCAGATGAAAGTCCTGGAGCTTTTCCCCAGAGCGCTCACGTCCAGCAGGCCAGCCCCGGGAGACCCCATGCTCTGCTCTATGACACCTGCCTGCCGCTCCCCTCACAAGCCAGTGTCTCGGACAGTGACGCCGCCCCTTGCTTCCCGAGTGGCTGGAAAGTGCTGGGGTGATGCGGAAGGGGAGGGATGGCCCCCAGGAGGGACAGTGCTGGTGCTCTCCCGCAGGCTGGTGACGCCTCACTCAGCTGGGTGTTTCCAGGCTTTCATTAGCTCTGCACTGGCAGCATGACCGGCACCCCTGACACCTGTCACAAGGCCAGAGATGGCCCTGGTGTCTCTAGCTGGGACACCTGACTGACAAGTGGCAACAAAGGCAAATCAATGCACAGCGCCCGCTTTGGTGACCAGTGTGAACATCATCTCTCTTGGGGAACTTCCAGCCAACAAAGAGGAAGGGCGGCCGCCGCGCCCGACTGAGTCTGCCCAGTGCCTTCATGGAGTGGGCGCTCCAAACTAGGACTCGGGGCTCCTGTCCTCTCCAGAGGTCAGTTCCCTCACTGCTGGCAGGTCGCAGTGCCCTCATGTGTCACTGTGATTCAGAGCGAGCAGGGCCATGGACTTATTTAAATTACAACCCAATATAATTTCTAGGGGCGATTTTTTTGTGCTGGGCTCCCAATCTCCAAAAGAATCTTTGGCCAAATCACTGGGCTCTGATTGTGTGCAGCCAGATTTCCACACAATTCTGCCCTAACTGAAGTGCAGGGCAGAAAAGGCTGAGACGGAGTTGGGATGTTCGACAGTGTGAGGTCAGAAAACCTTTCCAAGGTTTGAGGGATGCCGGCCTAACACTGATGCGTTGATGCTCTTCCATTCTGGAACCCCCAGTGCACACCTGAGTCCGATGCGACTCAGCCAGGTACAGGTCTAGAGAACAGCGGGTCGTGAACAGGAAACTTGGGGTGCTTACTGTGTGCTAGGTCTCCCTGTACGGGCTCCTTGGGCCTCACAACAGCGCTCTGAGCCAGGTCCCCTTGTCACCCCACTTTACAGAAGAGGACTCCAGGGGCTGAGGCAGGCTATGAGTGGTGACCTTGACCAGGAGGCAAATTCCATTACAACAAATAGGAAAAATAAAGCTTCTCAAAAGGACACCTAAAGTCGGTGCCCATGTCTAAGCAGGTGAGCCAGGTCACCAGGGATAGCACAGGATAAGCCGAGTCTCCCAAAGCCCTGCAAGTTGGCCACTAAGGACAAGCGCGCCAGTACAGGGGCTGGGCGGGGCACAGACAGCCTCGGGCTTTGTTTCTGATCCTCAGGATGGCAGAATAAGACAGAGGCCAAGGAGGAAGCAGAGGGTTGCCTGCTCTGCAGATCGTCACTAGTTTTAGTGGCACATGCTCCCTGCCCGGCCCTGCAGGCTGTCACTGTCACCAACACAGCAGGAGTTTCTCAGCACACACCGGGAATCCTCCAGGGCAGAGGACGAGCCCGTGCCCAAAAGGAACCTCACTTGGGGTGCTGAAAAGGACAGGTCCAGGCTGGAGAGGACAATGAACCTCCTGTGTAATAACTGTGTGGGCGAGGGCTCCCCAGAGCCCTTCCTGACGAACTGCCCCCCGCCCTGAACACCATGCTGGGGTACATCCCAACCCAGGAGGTACCTCGCTTTACGCCTTCTTCTTTCATCTGCTTAGCAGGTGCAGAGCCAAACTCCTCTTCCATGGGCCTGAACATCCGCTTCACGAGGACACTGCTGCTGGAAGACAGCAGAGGCTTTTAAGCAAAGCAGACAAGGTCCAAACCCAAGGTCATGCATGTGTTGGTCCTTGTCTTTTTCCCAAACTGGCCCCACTTGCCACTTCGTTCTTCCCCTTGCAGGTCCCGGGGCACCCCTGTCGGAGGCAGAACACACACTCTGCCTTGGGGTGCTGACCCCAGATCTACTCTGCATGAGGGGAGGTGGTTGCGCTTTAGCCCCTGCAGCCTGCACCTGTCCCTCTCTTCTGCTCAGATCCGGGCTGGGGGCAGCAGGAGTGAGCCCTGGGGTTTTGCAGCTCTTGCATGAAGCTGAGGCCTGGCTGTCCAGCTCCTCAGGCACAGCAGGAACACAAGCCACCTCCTTGGGACTTGTCCCGACTTCCTGCTGCTCTCCTTCTCTGGCTGGAGCAGATGAGACTGCAGTCCTGGGAATTCCTCGGGGACCCCGGAATTTCCCCTCTGACACCCATCTGCTGAGGCCAGACAGGACCTCAACCACCCGTTCGGATGGTTCTGCATTTCTTCCTGGAGTTCTGGTCGACCCCAGGCACTCTAATGGAGAAGACAGAGGACAGAAGACACCATGCTCCTACATGGACTCTTACTATTCTGGAAATTCGGCAGAACCACGAAGGCAGGAACTATGGGACCACACTGCCTTGGTTCAAATCCCTGCTTTACAATTCACTGCTGTGGGAACTTGGACAAGTTTCTCAACTTCCCTGGGCCTCAAACTCCTCCCGCTTAAAAAGTCTGTTAACATAAAAACATTTGAGGACATGGAAATGCTAGTTACCCTGATTTGATAATGCCATATTATATACATATATATACGTATCAAGCTATCATAATGTACTCTAGAAGTAAATGCAAGTATTACATGTCATATCAAAAGCAAAATTTAAAAACAATTTAATGAAATCAAATTGGAAAGGAGGCTCTCCTGAGCACTGAGGGACACATTTAGGCTCGGCACTCGAAGACTCTCTGGTACTCTGTCAGCACCCTCAGGTGCTGGATGAAGACAGAGATGGTGAGAAGAAGGTGGAGAGATTTGAGGATGAGCCGTTTGAGAAGACTGGATAGGCAACAGCTTGAAACAGGCCAGAGTCCTCTCTCCATCAATCACAGAGCACACAGCCCCAGCTCCCACTCTGGTCATCTGAGGACTTACACTGGTAAAGTCCCTGCATGGATGGGCGACACTGGATCAGTCCAGAGCTGCTCGACAATGTGAACCCTGCATCTCCCTGTCGGCATTGCTGTCACTCAGAAGTTATCGCTTCTTCAGCCAAGCGAATGGCAGGGTCAGGGGAAGAAAGCACGTGGTATACAACTGAGGGGAGGCCAAACATATTCCCATCCACTCTAGTGGTTTGAATTATTAGACCAATGGTGCTCTCATTTATCTTCTCATATTCTAGCTCATCCAAAAGGTGGCCCAACCAACAAAACTCCTTAGTGAGCCCTCAGATTCTACAAAGCACATTTCATCTCGTCACTTAAGTGTCGCAGACCCCGTGAGCCAGCCAGGCAGGTACCTGACTTTATCCCACTTCAGCGAGGACCCATGGCTCAACGTACTGAGGGTCTTGTGCAGGGCAAAGCAGCTAAGAAGAAAAACAGGTTTGCAGAAGGCTCATCTTTGAGAGGAGCCCTGGGTAAGTTACTCAGTAAATCCTACAGGAAGATGAGTAAGGGTATGAGGAATCATATGAAGAGTCAGCACTCTCTTATTTTCTTCCCTAGGATGTCACTGAAAGCAGCTGGAAGAACAGTCTAACACTCAGTCCCAGCCGCGGGTGGCAGTGAGTTCGAGGGCCTCACTCCCCCTCCTCCCCCCTCACTCCACTGTGACAACAGCAGGTCCTGTCACTCTGTCACGTCCTGGAAGTGCAGTGACCTTGATCTCTGGACTACAAGATTAGAAAATCCATTCACAGAGCAATCAGTGGCCATGAGGTTAATGACGGGTAAATAGCCTGAAATGTCACCAGACACTCTCATGCTGTGAGCTTTCCTACACTAGTGATTTTCTTTCTTCACTAAGCAAGATTTATTTATATTTCTCCAGGCCTGTTGACTTTTGATAGCACCCTGTTCTGAGCCATAGTAGACCTTGCCATTAAAATAACATCTTGGATAAACCACACTGCTCATGGGAATTCAGATATGCTTTTCCATGCTTTCAAATCTATAAACCCAGTAGGAGTCAATATGTTTGATGTGTTCTGGATTCAATGGTTTCATTTATTTTCAATGCGAGGCCAGAAGGGAAAAGCTGATAGGATGAGTCCATTTGCAAGATGAAAGGTCTGACAGCTTAGGCTTCCTGGTGTCTGAGCAAATTAAGTTTCATTACAGCACAAGAGGACTGGAGAACCAGGAAAAGCTGCTTGCTCTGGCATCAGACTCCCTCCTGCTGGCACTGGGAGGGGATCAATGTGCAGAATGACCCCAGAGCAGCACGTTCAGCCACTGGCTATGGGTCAGTTTCAGGGAAAGCGAGTCCCTGAGGCATGAACAAAGAAGTGCTAAGTTTCGTCACAAAAATACTGTGAAAGTGGCAGAAAAATACTGCAAAGCATGGGTCTCTGGCCACACCAGGTGAGCTGCTGGAGGCACTGGGTGCCTAGGGAGGAGAAGCCCCCCCAAAATTCCGGGAGGGGTTGCAGGCTCCCTGGAGACAGAGCTCGTTTTTCTCACCACTGTGCTTTTTCACACCTGTGAAAATGAATCACCATGAGAGCCCGCATCAGCAGAGGCCCCAGCCCTGTGTAGGAGCAGAGCAGAGAGGCTCATCCAACAGTTAAGGCCTCACAAAGTCTTTCATACCTTGGAGCAGAATCTCGACTAATTTACCTTCAACAGATTCCTCTTTGGGAAAATCAGCCCAGAATGACTTTAATCAATGCTAGCTTGGGGTGTTTAAGAAGTCACTGGACAAACCAGTGAAAGGAAGGAAAGAAGGAAGGAAAGGAAGAATAAATTTATTAACTCTTATTGTAGTTGTGAGCTCAGAATTCAAGTAATAAATGCTTGGGTCAGTAGGCCCAGAAGGATCATGTTTAAAGGTAGTTCAGATATTTCTGCTTCTGACTAAAATGTTATAGCCTGTGACAGCAACGTTCTAACCAAGAACAACTTGAAGATCCATCTAAAATATCTGGAAGATCTTCCTGAAGGTAGTGGAGAGCCAGAGCCTGCAGGGCCAAGCATTCAGTGATGTGAGCCAGGGGGCACGGGGACACTTTCTCCTCCAGTCACCTGCCGGCTCCACTGGGCAAAGAGGACGATAGGATCCCAGCGAAGGTAGATGCTGAGGGGCAAAGCAGTGTGCCTGGTGTGCGAGCTCACCGTGGCAGAGATAAAAGTTGGGACTTAAGGTGGCAGTGTTACCCAGGGCTTCTGCTCAACCCTGTAGAGCACGGAGGCGCAGAGAATATTCCCACTGGGGCTTGCACGGGACAGCATTGGAAGAAGCCACGCAGAAAGCCCTGGGCCAGCGCGGCGGGGTGAAGGACCGGCTTGCACAGGTCTCGGGAAGGCTGTGTGGTGCCCGTGAAGACGGCCCCTCAGCAGGGCTGCGTGAATGCACATGGCGACCTCGGGTCCACCAGGCACACGCTTCTGGGCTTGTCCAGCGATGAGGCAACACTGTGCCTCCAGCAAGGCCGAGAGCTCTCCTGACGAGGACCTGTCTCTTGCTGCCTCCGTCACAGCCACAGATCAAGAATTATGAGGACCGGGCTGGCGCACGGGGCAAGGGCTCAAAGCAGGTCCTGTGAAGGGTGGCTCGGGGTGGTCCAGTCCCTGCCTCTCTCACTTGCCAGCTGTGCAACTCTGAACAAGTTTCCCACTTGGCTTACTCACTATCGGAGACATTGAGACATTTGAGAGAATACAGTAAGAGAATCATCGAAGTCCTGGGCGAGCACCTCGTGAGTCTCCAGTGAGTGTTCACAGTGACATGTACAGGAAACAATGACCGAGCGGCTCTCGTGGATTAGTGCGGAGCTTCCGATGCTGCCCACTGCTCAGTCACACACTAACCAGAAGATGTGCCGGAGTACGAGACTCGGCCCTCGGGCCTCAGGACTGCGTGATGACACAAGGAGATTCTCCCAGGGAAACAGCCCATGGGTCAGAAGCAGGCCAGGAGCTGTCTACAAGGCTGGAGTGCGAAGAGGGACAGTTTGGGATGAGGATGGTTCACAGTGGGGTCTGCACATCAAGCTCAGGCACTTCCTCTCCTGATACTGAGTTTACCATGAGTTTTTCTCACTCATTCTACTAAACAGAACATCAACGCTAGGTGGAATTTTGAGAGATGGTCTCAAGCAAAGGCCTCAGTGGAAAATTAAGGAGGCCAAAGCCCTGAGATCAAGATGCTGACCCAAGACGTCACAGTGGTAAACGGCAACCGAGAGTAGAACCTGGTCAGAGTAACATTCCTCCCACGACACCATGCCGCCCTGCTAAGTGCATGAATAACAGATTAGAACTGATAGTGCTCATCACTCCTGTGCACCCCAGCCACTCTAAATACGTTATTTATGTGCCAACAGAAAGAACAATCTATTGGGTATTTAAAAGTCTGCAGTTTGAGGCTGAGTCCCAGACAAGGTTCTGCCCCTGCCAAACAGGCTGGGAAATCTTGGGACCCATTGGAGCCTCCCTTACTCTGGAACTGAAAGTTGCCAACTGTTTCTAAACAGCCTGTGTTAACTACTCAGCTCTGCTGGAACAGCACCAAAGCAATCACAGACAATGCGTGGAGGAATTAACATGGCTGTGTTCCAGCCAAACTTTATGGATGCTTGGATTTCATAAAATTTTCACATGCCATGCAATAGTATTCTTCTGAATTTTTTCAACTGTTGAAAAGTATGAAAACCATTCTTAGTTGCAGACTATTCCAAGGCAGATGGGAGCCTGACGTGGTCCTCATGCTGTCCTTCGCATTGGCTCTAGCATTGGCTTCACCTGGCTCTAGCATTAACTCTGCAAGGTCTGCCCCATGCACTTCACCAAGTGTGAAATGTCTCACAGGTAAATACATCAGTTACATAGGAACAGGGAAGCCCAGGTTTGACTGTCGTTGGGGGAAATGACCTACAGATTTCAGTTCCCACATCAAATGCAAACAAAGACTATAAAATAAATATTAAAAGTGAATATTGAACGAGGAGAAAAATAAGCACCCAAGTCATAAGAGAAAATTACCCCAATATAACCTGCAACTCCTATGGTTCAGACGCATGAATTTTAAGGAGAAAGCCAATTGTAAGGAGACTACTAACAAACTTAGTGGCATCCCGTGGGGAAAGCAAAGATGTTGAGAGGTAAAACTATATTTTAACAGCTGCAGGGGGAAAGGGATGCTGATCCAGAGAGCAGGTGAGGGAGTTCAGGAGCAGGTAGATGTCGGCTGCACGGACCACATCGCTTTCCAGGAGCTGGACTCATCCCGAGTGCACTGAACGCACCATCATCGGCAATGCCCAAGCACACGCTGGCGGACCCCTCCTGAGGACGCGGCCCAGATGTTACCGTCACCCGGAAGGGGAGGTCAGTTCAGTGAGCCTGGAGGCTCCTTTGGGGCTCTAAACTGGTAAGCTTTTATATGAGTTTAGGACAGAAAGCACTCGGGATGTGGCGGCCCCTAAAAACCTGAGGACCAGTCAGGTGTCCCGTGCGGAGATGGGAACGTTTCCGTCACTGCTGGGGTCGTGCTGTGGGGGCCTGCGAGGACAGCCTCCTAGCTAAAGTCCTGGGGGAGCACGAGCAGCCTCTCAGCCTTCCCAGTCCCACCCAGCCAGCCCAGCGCGAGGGCATGAGACAGACTGGCGAGTCCTGGGCAGCACGGGAGGCGGGGCGAGCTGTCTCCTTTGGCTTTTGCCTCAAGTTCAACTGTATCTTGTGTTGGGGCCAAACAATGGGAGCGAGGGCTAGCACCACAATTCCAGTAATAGACTGTTGGTGGAAAGGTGGAATGGAAGAAACGGGTCACTTAAAAAATAAGCACTTCCTCAGAGGCGCAGCATAGGAAGGAGAAAGGTGCTGCCCGGCCTCCCCCAGAGAGACCACTCTCCATGGGGACTGAGCTGAGGGGGGCTTCCGGAGCCACACACTTCCAGCCCGGCCCTGCCGTGACTGACTGGGTGTTCTGGTGACAACTGAGTGCCTTACCCTTCTCGTTCATCATCCGTGTTGTAGTACACCTGTGGGAGAAAACAAGAGGCTCACTGTAGGTCAGACACAGGAAACGGAAATGACGACATGACGCACTTTCCTGAGGCAGAAACTGTCTTCAAAAGACAAAGTTGTTTGATGATGGCTGTGTGTGTGTGTGTGTGTGTGTGTGTGTGCCTGTGTTTCTAAAGAAATACAAATTTTAACCTCTTTACATCCTCCCTGGGGTTAATCCTTAGATTTTAATGAAATAAAATTGGAAGTCTGCTTATATCTAGGTAAAGTCAGTCTGATTGGATTACTACAGCCCTACACCAATTCTTGCTTTTGACATTAAGAAAGGAAGTTGTTGGCCAGATTTGCATTCGTGATTTAGAAAGGCTCTAGAACCATGGGAAGCCAGAGAGGTGCCTCCTCTTGCCCCAATTATTTCTAAAAGCTGTGGGTCTCTTGTGGGCTTTGTGTGCTCAGGGTCACTCGTGTCTAAACATTCACATATTCCCTTTAAAAGCAGCCTCCCATCCTGACCCCTGGGTCTCTCCCTGGCCTTTTGGACCTGACCGCACCCTCCCTATGGATGTTCCTGAAGGCTCTCGACAGCTGCTGGGATGCCACCAAGCCCAGCCCTGCTGCTCACTGGTCCTGGCTACCTGGAACTCTGTGATGCGTCACTCTAGTTACAGCCAGATTTCTCTAGGAACTTTTCCCTTCCGTCTTCCTTAAGGACCATTGTGGTGCTGTATGCTTTGCTTCTTCTTAGACAGAAAACAATGGAGTTTTGTTTTTCCACCCCTAGGCTGTACTAGAAATGGGGCTGTCCTCTTAGAAGCACACGGAGTGGCCCTCAGGAATATGGGGCTGGGCTGCACCGCTGGCCAAACATTGGACTGTTTCACCAAAGTCTCTGCTGGGCTTGTTTCGTGGCCCCTTTAAATGCAGCGTCACACTTCCACCCTGGCTGACGCCCTGCCCAGGTGATCCCAACATGCAAGCGGCTTCTCGTGTTTCCCTGCCCTCCCAACGGGCTGACCCCGATGTCCCGGCCACTGCATAGGCATTTCTTCTCCTCTCCCATAATGGCCTGCTGCTTCTCCCCTGCCTGTCTTAGACTGCCTAAAATTACCTAGAAACCTACAAATGCAGATTCCTGGAAACACTTCAGAGTGTCTACTGTGCAAGTCCAAATCCTTCCAAGAACACCCGGGAGCTGGGGCTATGGACAAAGCTCTGTTTGAGGGGCCCTTCCTGAGGTGAGGGGAGAGGATCCCCAGGTCCAGGAGGCTGCAAAGTACATCCCTGAGGCACAGACACCCAGATACAAGCTGCCGACAGCGACTAAAGGGCCCCACAGTGCCTGCACAGTGGATTCACTCCACCTATGAGTCCTCAACAATCGCCTGTCCACATGTGGATTGGGGGGGGGGTCCCTCGGTGTGGCTTGGGGGGCTCCTGGCTGGGAGAGTGCTAGGGCCACCGGTCCCACAGCTGGGCAGAGCAGGACTCACAGCCACCCGGCTACTGAGGGCCTTGTCCCCCTTCAGACAAGCCAGTCCATCTCGGGGCCCACTGTGTTGGCCACTGTGAGCTCTTATCTTGCACGCAAAGCCAGCAATCCCTGTCCTGAGCTCAGCTCTGGCTATGATTCTGCCTCCTGCCTTGGGCCATCTCCCTGGTGGCTGCTTCCCAGGAAAGGCAGCCTTTAACACCTGGCCTTCAGCTTGGTGAGCCAGACAGCTTCGGGAGTCACAGAGAGCTCTTGGCACAGCTGCTTGGTCCTCAGCTGCCAGGAGTGCAGGGCAGTGCTGGCTCCTCAACTCCCCTCCCGCAGCAGGACTCCACCATCCCAGTGGCCAGGGGGACAGTGACCAAGCTGCTTCGAAACTATGCAGCCACAGAAAGGTGAAGATTGTGAGCTCCAGAGTTGGCCAGCGCCAGGAGCCCAGCGCATGATACCGACAGGCAAGTCTCCTTCCGAAGATTCATTTCCAGCTTTGTACTTTCATAATTAAAACTTTAGGTGCTACCAGATATTCTAATAACCTGAGCTACCATAGTGGGCTAGTTACTGGAGTTTGTTAGTTTAATATTAGCTTTTTCATTTCACATGTAGATACACCTAGAAGACAGGAGTTGCTTGTTTTGTTTTCTAAAGGGAGAAACTGTCTACAACCTCATTTGTCTTTAGATAAGAAATGATTTAACCATTCATTGGAAACTTGTAATTTTCTAAGGGGAAAACTGCTGGTGGGATCTGAATAAAGACTTCTTCCCCTACTGCAACTCTGTGAAGCCACAAGTGGAGCTGTATTTCCCACCGTTAGGTGGCGTGCTTGTGCACCCAGTGCATCTGGAAGAACATGGCCAAGGAACCCTGACGCTTACAGAAAATCGACCCTGATTTCCTCTTCTTTCATTGACACTGTCCTCTCCTGAGACATCCCTTCCTCTAGTGAAGGGACAGTGGGTTTTACTGTCTCCAGGCTCTGCCCCCAGGAGCCCAGTGGGGGAGTCTCGGGGAGGCTGTACCTGTCCGGTCCTCTGCAGGTTTGCAAAGTGGACGTCGGGTATGAAGAGCACGGGCTGAGAGTGCAGGTCGGGCATGGTCTTGAAGTAGGTGATGTCACTCTTCTTCTGTAAAGGCATGGCGGCCAACTTCCCGTCAGAGGCTGGACGCGACCACAAAACCCATAAACGACAGGGTTACGCATGACTGAGAACTCACACCTGTCAGCCTGTCTCAGAGAACACGCGGGACTCTCCTACAAAGCCCCCAAATACCACAGCCACGAGTGCACTTTAGAATCCCCCGGCCCTCAGGGAACAGGGAGCCTGGGCCTGCTCCACGGGCTGCTCACACCTGGCATAGCCGTGTGTCCTTGCTCCTGGTCTGTCCCAGGAGGACTCTGGTCTCCATACTGCAAAAATCCCACCTACCCGCCCTCGCCAAGCTTGTGTGATTCTTTGCTCTCACAGGGACTGTCACCCCGTCACCCTGGCCTGTGTGCTTGTGTCCCCCCCATGCTTTCCACCTGCCCCAGGCACCGGCCCCCCCAGGGCTCCCCATTAGCAGTCAGCCTCGGGCAAACTCACAGTTGTTACTTGGGGTCTGAGGGGCCTGGCCCTTCCCTTTCTTCCTGTTCTGCTTCCTCTCTTCATCTCGGATTTTCCTTTCCGCGCCCTGTCGGGGAAAACAAACACAGACCATGCTGGCCAGGTTATGGGAGCATGGAGGAGTCCTGCCACACACGAATCTCGGGGTCAGAAGCCCCGCTGGTGCTCAGCCTTCGGTTCTGAAAGCTGAGGGCACTGGGTGAGCCCTTCTGACCTGGGAGCGAGTTGAGTCCATGGTGTCCGAATTTCTTCCTTTTTTGCTCTCTTGCCTACTTAGAGAACTTTAGTTTTGAAGCCATACAGAAAGCCCGGGCCCCGATCTCTAACCTGCTGAGGCCCTTAGGAAACTTTAGTGATCATCATAAAATGGCCCAGGATGAAGCACTGGCCCTCAGTTCACTCGCTGGCAGGGAGAGGGCTTCACAGCCGCATGTGCCTCCCTGTAACATTTTCCCTTGCTTGTACGAACGTGAAAGAATAATCAAAGTGGGCGAGATACGGAGGGCGCCCACCCCTCCACCCCTCCCTTGGCCAGCGATCCCACGGACAGATGGGCCGCTCTGCACATGCACGTGCCTTGGGCGTCTGCATCGGTGGTATTTTCAGGCGTTCTCTGGGATGGGGCTTGGTGGATCAGACAGGAAAAGGCATCGTCTGTTCACTTCTTTCTTGTGCCTCTCTCCTTGGTGATCTGACTTTCCATGATCTCTTCTGGCCACATGGCCAAGTACTCCTGCTCACCTAACTGTCACCTTACAGCTGTTTCCTTCATGGCCCACGCCAAGGCCCTGGTCAGCTTTCTTTTTAGTCAATTGCCAACTCACTTTCCTTTTTCACACCCAGAAACACGGCGCCAACGCAGTGCTCTGGGTTCTCTCTCCATGCCTGCTGCAGGGACTCATGCAGCCCTGGGCAGGTGACAGCTGCTCCTTCCCTAAGCTCAGCTTGTTCCTAGCTTGCCCTGAGTAGCAGATTTAAGGGGCAGGGAAGCCTGGGTGGCCGGCACCCCCCATGCCTTCGGAAACTGCCCCCCAAACATCACCTACAGAAGGGAGATCTGCCAATGTAAAAAGTTAACCTTATGCATGCAAAAGAACAGAACAAAACAACAACAACCCAAACTAAAGTGCAAAAGGGATTGGAGAAAATACTTGCAATAAAGTAACATATGAAGTGTCAAATTCTAACTGTATAATGATTCGAATTTAAGAACTAACATACTAATGGTAAAGGGGCAAGGGCCAGGAGGCAGGTGGTACACAGAAAACACACACTGGTGGTCTGAATTAGAGTGAGGCGTACTTTTGGGTGATCACATTGGCTCCTTTAAAAAGGCAGATTCCCAGCTTTAGCCAGATGGGGCACGACACAGTGGGGTTTGAGACAGCAGAGCCATGGTCAAGGACATGCCTTTGGAGCTAATTCTCAGAGAATTTATGATACAGTGGACCCTTGTCTTATGAACTCAATTTGTTCCTGAGGGCTGGTTGTAACTCAAGCTGGTCAGTGAAGGCTCAGGCTCCTCTACACAGTCTTCAAAGTCTCTGTCCTGTACACAGGAAGATCTCAGTTTCCTTAGAGAGACACTGGCCCAGGATCTCTCAGTTAACCCCACTCAGGAGAGGATGTTGTCATGTTCCTCTCAGAACTCTGTAAGGGTTAAATCTGTATCTGAGACTGTCTGGAAGAACAAGCGGCCAGTATTTGGGTCATAACTCAAGACTTTGGTTGGAAGTTAAAACTAAAATTCTGTTTGTAACCCAAGTTGTTGGTATGTCAGCCCAGTTGTAACTCGAGGGTCCACTGTAACAGCTAATGCTTACCTTGCTTACCTGGCACTTATTCTGTGCCAGGTATTTTCTAGTGGGTAAGATAGGCTAGACAGATAACTTAAATATGTTTTATTTTTGTTTTCGTTTTTGCAGTACAGGGGCTGGAACCCAGGGCTGTCACACTAAGCTACAACCTCGGCCCTTTTAATTTTTATTTTGAGACACTATCTTGGTAAACTGCTGAGTTGTTCGGCTTGGGCTCAAACTTGCAATGTTCCTGTCTCAGCCTCCCAGAGTGCTGTAATTACAGGGCATGTGACACCAGGCCCAGCAAACATGCATTTTTATATCCAAAAACTACCAAAGGAAGTAACTGTTTTACTTACTGCCAAAGGAAGTAATTAATTTACAGTGCTTCACTTAAAGTTTTAAGTTATTGATACAGATCACGGAAATTCATGGCAAGATGGAGATAAAATACAGAAATACCTGCTTGGGAAGCCTCTTTCAGGTGTAATTGTGTAGTGTCTGCATTTGGATGACACTGAAGGGGAGCTAACATTCGTGTGAGGGGGGCTTGAGTTCATACGGATCCGTTGGGAGCTCCGCACACTTCAGCAATTACTACAAGTAGCAGTCTGGGTCTTTATTTTCTATTTAGGCAGATACTTCAAGGTTGGTCAAGCAACTGTACTATTTCTGTGAGGAATTCATAAGGAGTTAATCTACTGCAAGATTTATGTATGTTCCAGGCAGATTTTTAGGAAATAAAGCCACTTGCTTATTATTTTTCAGGCAGTAATGTAAAACCCAGAGCAGGTCTCCGCTGGGCGCAGCCTGGTGCCACTTCTGTGTGAGGAATTTGCTGTCTAGAAAGCCCAGATATCAGTGAAACAATTCAGATAGTATCTGCATTTGGGAGAAACGCAGGTCTAAAGGAGGTTCTAAAATAAAGCTTTCGACTTCACAGCGACTCAGGGACGCCTTAGTACATTCTGCTAAGATGGAGAAATCTCCCTCAATCAAGACCTCCCAAGAATTCCTTTCCTTCTTAGGGTTACTTGTGACCTAAAGCTTCTAAACAATATTACTCGTACTCTTATGAAAAAAAAAAGTTCCAGAAGATCTAGTTTGCTATAAAGACCAAAGTTATCACTGGACAATAATCTCCCTTGTCCCAATTTTCATTCACTATGGAGTACTAAATCTGAAAAATATACCTCAAGTTCCTGCTACAGGTGGGGAGGATGTGGTGCACCCCTGTAATCCCAGCACTTGGGAGGCCAAGGCAGGAGGCTTGCCATGAGTTCAAGGTCAGCTTGGGCTACACAGTGAGTTCAAGGTCAGCCTGAGCTACATAGCAAGACCCTGTCTCAGAAGGAGTTCCTGCTATATACTGTGATCACTTTTGCCAACACGAGGGGTGGTAGCAATCTTTGCCTTTTATCTAACATTTAAATTTTTATTTTACGAATTCTAATTTTATTTAAAGTTCTATGCAAGCTATAGTTACTGTTCGCAGACATACAAAATTCTTATTTTTCATGGAAGACCATGGAAGCAATCAAATATAGAGATCAAGATATTACACACAGGTATTTATCTACATGGTTAAATAGATCCTGGGTTTTTGTTTGTTTGTTTGTTTTTTAGTACTGGGGATCAAACTTGGATCCTTGTGCTCCTGCAGCAGGCTGCGAAACCACTGAGCTAAATCCCCGGCCTGATCCTGGGTTTTTTAAATGCATAAGCATAGGCATTTCAAAGCAGCCTCAGAATATCAAAAAAGTTAGAGAACGCCTGTATTTTCACCTGCAGGTTCACAGGTATATACACCAGGAATCAGACTGGAGAACCCAAAATACTGCAGAATTCCATCTGTTTAGGACACTAGCCTGCAACTGGGAAACTTACAATTTTAAAATGGAATATCTCTACTCTTTGTTCAACAAGCATTTACATTTATACATTATTGTAAAACTGCAAAAATAAAACTTGTATTTGGGTTTTTAATCCCCTGCAAGTGAATTTTGCCCGAACTTGCAAATTAGAGCTGCAAATGACAAATTATAGCAAAAGACTGTATCTACTTTATTAGAGAGAGAGCGATTCAGTTCATCCACATACACAGTCCACAAGATTTCCTCCCATGCGAGTTTCCTGCCCCCATCTACTCCTTAACATTAGGGTTTGTAGGTACCCACTATGTACTTGAAATAAATGCCAATCATTTGCCCAGTGGTCTCCAACCATTTTCTCCTACTTAGTGGTGATATTTAATAGACTGACATTTACAATAGGAACTATTAGAAATGTTACCTATTTTCTGACTGGCAAAGAATATGTTAATGGCTCTTCCTGGGTTTTATTCATATTTACAAACATGCCCACATAAGTAGGTGGTTCCCCAACTACTGTAGATCACCCTCTTAGCATGACTTCAGGAAGCAATGCTCTGGGGAAACCCACAAAATCCTTTCTCATTCTCTCTCTTTTAGAGGTGTTATGGCTGTGTCTAGATGTCCCCCCGAAAGCTTCATGTGTCATAGGTGGGGCTTGTTCCAGAGGTGGCTGGATCTAGAGTGTGTGACTGATTCATCCTGCCATGCTAGTACTAAGGGTGCTAGGATGAAGAGTGGGTGATTCCTAAATCAGTTCACTGATTGGTGTGGCACCACACTAACCCCCATAGCCTGGATACACTATAAGGGACAGAAAGAGGCTTGTCTTGTCCCTTGCTTGTTTTGCTGCCTTCTGCCTGCCATGAGCTGTTTCTCCTCTGCGATGCTTGTCTGTCATGCGCCAGGCCTGGGAGCCAGCCAATTATGGACTGAAACCTCTACAAACTGTGAGCTAAATAAACCTTTCCTCCTTTAACTTTGGGTGTTGGATATTTTGCCTCAGCAACAAGAAAATTAACTAAGACAAGAGGTAAAAAGAACTATGAAAGAACATTCATAGAAAGAATTGGCAGAGCACTGGGGGGGTGGCTTGGTTAGAATGCTTGGCAACTTCTATGAGGTTCAGTCCCCAGCACCACAAAGCAAAAGCAAAAATGTCTTCAAACAAAAGGTGCACTCATCATTTTATTTATACATTTAGCTTCTTACAATCCCCATTACCCTAGGGCATAGGGTAACAGCAATGTACCACGACTCTCCATTCATTCTGCTAGTTTGGGGCTGTCTTATTTTCTTTGGTGCACCAATACTATAGAGTAAGAGAGTTATATGAGCATCCTTGAAGCCTTCTCTTTCCCCTTTCAATTCCAACTGCCAACATAACGGGGTTTCTAATCCCTCTCTGCCAACCTTCCTTCTCGTTTTCCTTACCCCTAACTTTACTCATGGAGTAAATCCCTGGGAGTTGAATTCTACCATCTTCCTTGGAATATCTGGACCAAAGAGAATTCAAATCACTCACACGCTCTCCCATCTGTACACCTGACAATTTTATGTTGTACATGATTTCAAGATGTTTCCTTTCTTTTCCTTTTCTTGTTCTGTTTTGCTTTGTTTGATTTTGAGATGGGGTCTTGCTATGTTGCCCAGGCTGGGCTCAAACTCGGGACCCTTCAGCCACAACTTCCCTGGTGGCTGGGATTACAGACGTTCACCACTGGGAGGGGATTCAAACTGTTTTCTTAATGTTTCATGTGCTAAAATAAAGACACAAATTGATTGTTTTCTTTTTAAGGGCTACTTGACTTCTCATTGAGGCTTCGAAGCATCTGTTACCATTCTGATATTCTGTACGTCAAGTTGTCCATTGGTACACAGAGTATGCGTTCGGAACCAGCCTGCGTTTGCGTCCAGCTCCGCTGCTTCCTACTGTGTGGCTCTGCCTTGCAGTGCGTGTGACCACGGAGTACACTGGCGTGTCCTGCTCCGTGCCCACGAGCCAGACCCACTGTCCCTCAGACTTCAGTGCTGCTCTGAGGACCGGGTGACCCACAGCAGCTGGAGGTGTCACGGCCTGAAGGCTGTCGTGACTTAGGGGTGGTGGCTGCCAGGCCATGTGCAGTGTTGCTGTCCTCTCATTGCTGCTCCTGCTTCCAGCTGTCATCCTTCTCTCTGTGCATGCCCACTGGTCCCAGGGCTGTCCCTGCGGCATGCCAACGTGGACGCATCCTGGTGGCCCTGCTGACTGTCTCCTCCTCTTCTTCCTCCCTGGCACAGACTCGTGCCAATGCCCACAGGCAGTGGGCCAGCTCTCTGGAGCCCCCCAATCCCCCAGCTTTAAACAGCCGTGCTGCCTTCACCGTGAGAACACGCTTCTCCCTGTCATTCAGAGTTAGATTCGGGGTGAATATGTGGGCTCTCCCCTGGACTGTGTCAGGGATTCACAGCCAGTGTCTAAAGTTTATTCTCTTCTGCGTTCTCAAGAGGGAATACTGGCTGGATTCTTTAGGGGTTTTGTTGTTGTTTGTTTAAAAGAAATCACTTTCAAATAATGTACAACATAGAATTAACAGGCATACAAAGGGGACAGCTCATAAGCAATTTGAATTCTCTTACTTTATTCCAGATATTCTAATTGGGTTGAATACAAAATATTCTTTATTCTTGGATATAAAATCCGTGGTTACATTGCTTTACTTGATTCAATATCATTGTCTTCTGACAAAGTGTTCTCGCTGAAAAGTCTGATGATAAATGTTTCCTTGTTATTAATTATTTTATTTAGATGCCCAAAGAAGATTTTCCTGCCTTTAAAATACCTGATAAATTAACTACTTGGTAAGGGTTCCTGAGTAAACCCCCACAGGTATGTGACACACCAACTGAAACAGGTACACTTTCTATTTCAAGATTTCCTAATTTATGATTTTTAGCACTTGCTTTATTGCACTGTCTTGGTCTTTTGCTCAGAGAGTTCCATCACGTGTGATTGGCTTTTCTTTACCTCTCTTCTATATGTATTATGTTCTCTCTCAGCTCTTTCTTCATCTTTCCTGATTTTTAAAATTATTCGATTTCCAACCTGTATTTCCTCAAGACTTCGTCGTATTTGTTCCCTTAGTGCTATATCTAGTGTAGTCTTCTGAAATATTTTAATCTTTTATTTCTAAATCCTGAGCTCTAACGTCTCTCTTTTTAAATCATTTTATTCTCCAAGCACTTCACATGTGAGTTTTTCAAGTTGTGGTTTATGCTGGGCTTCACGATTGGTCATCTTCTCTCTTCCACGTGTTCCGCTGTGAAGCACGGGGCCTGTTTTCCTTGCTCTGGGCCCCGTCTTTGCGGCATGCACTCACTCGCCATTGGGAAGTTGGGCTGACCTTGATCTCCTTTTTCTGAGGCATTTTGGAGGATCCAACTATTTGCTTGGGGTTTGGTCCTAACGTTTTAGTGAGCTGAGTGGGCGGGAACAGTCCCTCCAGCTGCTCTCCTGCTCCCTCTGGTGGTCGGTTCACAAAGTGCCACAACAGCCCTGTATTTTCTAAGATCTTCCTACTGCGTGTCTCTTTCCATCCTCATTCTTACTCTGAATTTCTCTTTCCTTTTCCACTTTTTTTTTTCCTCAACTCAATTCTATGCTCAAACGTTTTTCTCAGAGTTAGGTTTTGCACTTCAAAGCAGATCTTCAGTTTCTAACTTTTCACAGAGAACAAAATCCATCGCAGTGTCCCCACTCGGGTGCTCCAGGCTGCCCTCAGAAGGCCGCTTCTCTCCCTCCCGCGGCTCCCTGGGAGATTCTGCATCTCCGCCCGCCCGTGCCTAACTGTCCCTCACAGAGGTGGACACCACTCAGGCTGTGTAGCCAGTGCTGCCTGGCCCTGTTTGTACCTGGATCTGTGAGGCACTCCTGTTCCCTGTGCATGGGTTTGGTGCCGGGACTCGGGGAGAGTGGAAGCACATGCCCCATGTGTGCAGGTGTACTGATGAGCCCACAGGGGCAACCCCATCCCCAGAAATTCCAGACGAGGCCTCCTTCAACCCACACAATAATAAAAGGTACACGGCTATGTTCTGGGATAGCATCAACGTCCAATAAAAACTGTTATAAAGGGGCCGGGGATTTAGCTCAGTGGTTCCGGCGCCTGCCTTGCAAGCACAAGGTCCTGAGTTCGATCCCTGGTACCAAAAGAATAAAAATAAATAAATAAATAAAATGCACACAAAATGCAAGAAAGGTTTTAAAAAAAAAAACTGTTATAAAGTCTGTTATTTCAGTTATCCACTGAATCAGACTACAGCACAGTTATGGACTAATGTTCCTGTCCTTGCTCAAAATTCCTACACTGAAGCTCCAACCCCCAGGGGGATGACATTTGGAGGCAGGACCTGGAGTCTAGGTGAGGTCATGTGGGAAGGGCCCTGAGGGTGTGATCAGTGCCCTTATGAGAGAGACACTCCATCACCGGAGGGCACCATAAGAAGAGGGCATGGGGAAGCCAGGGAGAAGACCCTCCCCTGGAACCGAACTTGTCAGCACCTGACCTGGGACTTCCCAGCCTCCCAAAGTGTGAGGGATAAATTTCTGTTGTTTCTGCCATCCAGTCTGTGATGTTCTGCTACAGTAGTCTGAGCTGACCAGGACACAGGGCAATGCAGATCAGCCACTGTCTGAATGGTAAGAAGGGTTAACTAAAAAAGGAGGGAGGGAGGGAGGAGAGGGAAGTCGGAAGGAAGGAAAGAAGGAAGCTGGGAAGGAAGTTAGTTGACTGATGATTCCCTCGATATCTCATAGGAATTGAGATCAAAAGATTCCCACCGTGATTAATGAGATGATTATGCTGACACCACAGGACAAGAGACGGGGCGGGGGGCGGTCATTAAAAGCAGTATCTAATAGCAAAGACATTTTTATGACAAGCTGTCGTTGTTACTTACCTTATCACAGAAGACCTTGATCTGGCAATACGCCCTATGAATAGGTTTATTGCTACGGTTATTGTAACTGTAGGTATCAATCTGAATCATCAGTGGAAGTCCTTTCACCCCTTTTTGGGAGGAGAAGTCTGTGCTCAGACAGTTCACGGTGATGAAAATCTGACGGAGGCAGAAACAGAAAGTTCCTAAGTCACAATACAGAGGGTCTCCAAAGCAGGCCCAAGCAACAGACTGATGTAAAAATACCCAAAAGACCTACAAGGACAACTGGAGAATATGTCGATTCTCTCGTAGCCAATCTGTTGAATGCATAGTACATCATATATACCATGTAATTTGTAACTACAACCAACTGTGCTTCCATACTCCATCGTGAAATAGGCCATCTACTTCCATACATCAACAAAGTCTGACCTATCTTCTTAGACAAGTGTCACTGGGTCAGGTGAGTCATTGTTCTTTCAACACATTGAAGTTAAAATAGAGAAATCAGTTTCACTAAGCTCTGAGCTGTGGGATATAAGATAAATAAATTTAGACAACACCTTTCTTCACACACTACTGCACTGAGACCTAGTATCTGTTCCCATATCTGTCATGACTGTGAAGCATCAGCTGAAAAATCATGAATTTTTTTCTTGGATTCCTGGTGCCTACACAGTGGTAGCAGGGAAGGGGCTCAGTATTAACCAATGAAGAGAACTTTCAATTTTTCCCTTGAAACCATCTTTAAGATCTTCAGGACAGAATGTAAATACCAACATACTTCCAGGGAAGTACGTTTTTAGGGAAAAGCTGTCAAAGGTAAGACTGGAAACAGGAGGGAGGAGGTACAGGGATAGCTTCAATATCTACATCCTCCAACCCGGAGCATCAGGAAATGACGTGAATCCCAAGGAGAAGAAACAAGTACATTATCAAAGATTTCAGCATCGACTATCAAAAGAACGAAGAATAGTTTATCATAAAACACTGGTAGGGTGAGGGGTGTGCATAGGCTGAATTTCTCCTCCTTCTATATACTGAATGGCAATCGACAGACGCCATTGAACCACAGAGCCCCCAGACCACAGTGGGGTGGCCTGGTAATTGAGAGGTGGTCTCTGGGGACAGCCAGGTACGCTACCTGTCACATTTGGCTCTGCTTTCATACCATACCCCATGTATTATTTTTTAAACAACATTTTCAGTCACTTGTTGCTTTAAATCATATACTTATGTATTCTATAAACCGTACTGTCAGATGTTGTTATCTAACCTTTGTCGCATTTGGCCCCAGAGCTTTGGACTTTCCTTCAGACCCTGAGCCTGAACCCCTCTGTGTTGCAGTGACACCACCAGGGGCCACCTTGGGGAAGTGGCAGTCCCAGCGTCAAGCCTTTTGGATTTTTTTATTTCACTACCAAGCTGGCTCTAATTCGCTTCAAGCCCTGTGGGCTTTGGGGTGATTCATCAACCAGGCACCATTTAGTGCTACCTGCCTGCAAACATCATTTTCCTCAGGCTTTATTTTTTATTCATACGTGTTTATAGGGCATAAGGATCACATTCCGCGTGTGGAGTAGGAACACACACAATGCTTCTCAGCTCTTTCCGTGCCTTCCTGCCTCACCTCCCTGTGCCCTGCACCCCTGGGTCCCCTCCCATGTGCAACACACGTGCCCCTACCTCCTGTTGCCTCTGCACTCCCCACTGGGCAAGGAGAGATGTGTCAGTGAGGTAGACAGGCCGCCTGGCAGGGCTGCTGACATGGGAATCGCAACACCCCGGGGGACCACGCCACCCTGGGCCTGGGGCAGGACCTCTCTGATCTGGGGAGCAGCCAAGGGAAGACGCAGCTGCCTGGTGACAGTGACGGGAGGAACTAACTCAGTCACATGGGCCTCTAACGAAGAACACGCCGCACTCTACCAAGCGCCCAGGGTGAAAGCATTTTATCCTCGAGGGTCCCACAGACAGAAAGTGCTTCTGGAGGTGCTAGAGAGCCCCCGGTGGCTGAGTTCGTTTAACACCTGTTCCTGGGCTCCGTATTTCCTCTTCGTGCACGCTGGCTGGCAGATCCGTGCGCACAGAGGACACATTCTGACTGTTCTCGGAAGTATCTGAAATGCCTTCTACCGTCCTGCGACCGTGCTGGCCCCAATGCCCAGTAATGGTTCCCAGAGCTGGCAGGGAGGACACGACTGCTCTAACTGTCCTGACGGCGCCACTGAGCGCTCAGCTCCAGGTCCTCTCCTAGGAACACCCTTCGTCACCACTGCCGTCATTACTGACCGGGATGCTGCAGCTTGGCAATGTGGCGGGACAAGGAGACTCCTGGAGAGGCGCCTGGCTCAGGGGGGCGCTGTGGCCACCGGGTGCAAACCCGAAGATGTCTGCACTGCAGGTGCTGTCGGGAGCCGGGCGCAGGCGGAGGGTCCCAGGGCAGCCTTTGGAGCGTGCATCTCCTGCCCCGCTCTGCTTCCCAGATGCCCGACACCCAGCAGCTTCGCCATGGGGTCTGCCTTGGAGCCGGCAACCACAGACCGGCAACTCCTGAGCCAAAAGCCCTCTCTCTCCTTTAAGCTGCAGGTGTCCGGCGATGGGGATGCTGCCTACCACACTGCACGGGCGTCCTGGCCAGGGCTCACAGCCAGTTCACGTCAGCGAGTCAAGCATGCCCTCTGCTGAGCCAGCCATGGCTGTGCCCGTGTCTTCACACAGGGACCTTCCCGGGCGGCTGTGAGCCAAAGGGCCCTCAACCCTGCCTGGTTTTGTCTGCTCCTTCACACAGCTACCTAGGACTCCAGAGGCAGACGAGCAGGTGTTCCAGCGAGGATTTCCCAAGCTGTCCAGGTTCCCGGCCAGCCCTGACTCAGCCCCCTGTCACCCCTGGTGGACATGTCCTCTGTCGGGCAGAGCTGCTGAAATAATAGATGTTCACTGGCACCACGGCACGATAAACACACGGACCCTCCTGGGAGGACCGTCTCCAACCAGCCTCCCTGGAGGCGGCCTTTAGAGGTCCATGCACCAGGCTCTGCTGGAGACCTTAGGGCCCTTCGTGGGGAGAGTCCCCGGTGTACTGGCCGCTGCCCATGTCAACCTAAGGGCAGGGTCTCACCACTGTGCTGGCCCGCTTTCCTCCCGCCCGGGGGAAGAAGGCACAGCGGCGGAGCCTGACGGCGTCCATCCAACCGTCTCAGTGTGCTGCCTCCAAAGCTGATCGGTTGAACTGAAGGTGGGGGTGGCACAGGGAGGCACGGGAGACGGAGCCCAAATCCTTGGCCTGGGCACGGATAAGCAGGAAGCTGCCCATGTGCAAACCTACCGTGCCCAGCGCCATGCGCAGCTGGCAAGCGGGAGGGCGAATTTCCTGGAAGTTCATGTCCAAAGCGCATGTGAGGCAATGTGCATCAGGGCCTCGAGAAAGGGGACGATCCCACCTGCAGAAAGGCCACGCCAGCCTCAGGTACAGGCAGCGCTGAGCTCCAACAGCAGCCCCGCCGGTGCAAATGCAGGTGAATGCTGTGAACGACTGATCTGTCTACGAGGTATAAACACTACACACATGCACGTGATATTTTCAAACCTCAGTTACCTGGTTTCTAATGACACGTTTTTATTGTTTTAGAAAAACGAATTAAACCAAGTGTATTCAGACATAGACACCACTGTCACGGGCTGACTCAGCAGATGATTTCTAAATCTGCCAAGACCTTTCCCAGAAGTAGCAGCAGTCTTGTGATACTTCACATTTTTAAATAAAATCATTTGTTACACATGAATGGCAATTCTCGCTTTGTAGTTCCTACACAGAAAAGCAATTTTACTGGGTTTGGAATACCTCGCAGTCATGCACTATTTGTGTAGAAGAATTTATTAAAATAAATACAAATCAATGAGCTTAGAATCGATGCATTAACTTAATTTTTTTGGTAATTTGGGGGGGAAGACAGTGCTGGGGATGGAATGCAGCGCCCACACATGCCGGGCAAGTGCTCTGTCACTGAGCTCCATCCACAACACATTTCCTTGACTGTTAACTCCCAAGATTCTTCTGAGGATTTCCATGAAAAGAAATGCACCTACCTTTGATGGACTTAGTAATTTGGGATTTGAAAATCATAACCATAATTTGATGTAATGCATTTATTTGCCTTTTTAAACAATTGCATTTTGCACTTTTAAGATCATTCTAGGGCCGGGGATTTAGCTCAGTGGTTCCACCGCCTGCCTCGCAAGCACAAGGACCTGAGTTCAATCCCTGGTACCAAAAAAAAAAGATCATTCTGATGAGGAACTAAAAAGTCTGTGTATTTCTTAATGAGTGGGACTGAAGAGTAAATGTCACACATGAGCCTCCAAAGTATAGGCACAAGGCACACGTCAAGAAATAACAACTTCAACCCAACAGGTAAGGACACCCTTCCCTTACATATGAATACACAAGTGTGCTATTGCAATTCCTCTGCTCTGCTCCTGGCTCTCGGGTTTATTAAGTACCTGCAGGTAGTTTCTTACATTTCATTATTGTTCTTCCCTTTGGCAAGAATGCATTTGCCTGCAGATAGGATGGGGAAGTGAGACAGGAGACCGACTAAGTCAGGTGACCAGGATGGAAGCGCGGCCCCCGCACCCACTCATCTGTCCCGTGTCCAATTCACTTTGTTCACCGAGCAGATTCGGGGTCTTCGCTCAGTGCCCGGCCAGGAAAGGGACGCAGGTGACAAGACAGGCTGACTACCTACTGGTCTGTTGAGGGTGTAAGATTAGACTTCCAGAAACTTCCAGTTACACAGACAGCACTTTTAGGAAATTAGTGTGTGTGTTTTCATCTTTATTCTGATAAGATACTCCGTATTTCCCCGCCCAGCCCCATGGGACGTTCGGACGCATAGATGCGCCTCTGCCGGACTCCTGCTCTTCAAGCTCCCTGTCTGCTCCGCCCCCAGAACACGACGCATGTGTCCTGTATCGGCCTCTACTCTCGGCCCGGGCTCTGCTCACTGTGCTGCCTCTGCACGTCCTCGTGATCCAGGTCCTTCCCTCAGACCCCGGCCCTGCGTGGGCTCTCAGGTGTCCCTGCCACGCCCACCACGAACCTTGGCCTTCTCCGCCCTGCCCCAGGTCATGATCAGCGACACCCTCCACCTGATCTCTCTCCTCACAGCAGTGAC